TTGTTTTCCTGGTGAACATATCCTCACTATACATGATTTTATAGATCGTAAGCCTGTATTTACTATTGTTACTGTAATCTCCACTCTAGTTGAATGCCAGACACAACAGCTCAGTTTAGTTATTTTAAAGTTCAATTTTCTTCTCTAGCTTTGAATCTTATGGCTGGAAAGTTATTGGGGGAGGGCATAAAACTGTGGGGCACTTGAATCTTCTAAGTCTCTGCAGTCGAGTTAATTTGTGTAGTGTGGAATTATAGGGGCTGGTCTTTCTCAAAGAAGTCTTGTATGAATTCTTATAAACCTACTTAAGTCCTTGTTTACAGTTGCAAGAAAATTAGATACTCCTCCTTAAATAAGTTGACTGTGTATTGAAACTACCTAAGATATAATTGTATTCTTTCCTCCTAATGAATCTAAACTTATGTTTGAATAGCAATGATATATGAGGCACTTAAAGCTGACTGTTAATACCACTTCCTGCATACTATTTTAAATAAATAAATGTTCATTTGCTAAGTGGATATTCTACCTCATCAACAAAGGATACGACATGGATAGCAAAAGTCATTAGCATAATACAAATGCTTGCAAAAGGACTTTGGAATGCCTAAACTGAAAAAGCACACTACCAAGGACTTGGAAAGAATTTCAAGCTCCAAGGCCAAAAAAGTCTACTGCATATTAATCTTCTTTATCAGAAAGTTGATTTGGAGCACAAAAGACAAGAATAAGCTTATTGTGCAATAATAAAAAATCTTGGGAGACTTCATGGTATGGTGGAAAGATGCTACATGGGAGAACAGGGGATTGTGATGATTCTAATTTTATCCCCAATTAGCTTTGAGATATTTAACCAGGCATCTCAGTCCTATGAATATCCATATTCCCATTTATAAAAGGAGGGCTTGAGGTATGTTTTTAGTTTTTTTCCCCCTGACAAACAGAATCTCAGAGAAGTTTTATGACCAAACGAAGGTGGCAAAGTCCAAAGAAAGAGTTTGGGGTAAAACAAAAAACAAAAAACAAAAAACAAAAAAAACTCCTTACAAACTTTTAACTGGACTTCTGCCTCCCAAGGTTCTTTAACTCTTTCAAATGAAAGCATGCATGCAGTAACTGTCTCTCTTGAAGAGAACAGAGTAAATGTACTCTAACTTATATGAAGCCCAAAGTATGGTTGTTAGACATCCTTATGTCCAATTAGAAAACTAGCAATTGTTCTCAACTTTCACTACCCCATCTATGAATTATACAAGTCTCAAGGCTTTGCTTTAAGCATCTTCCTGATGTTAACATTATAAATATAGGAAGCGGGGCAGGGTTAGAGGACAAGAGACTGTCTGCATTTAAGATGAGAAATCTGTGAAGATTTCTGTGAAGAAAATCTGTGATTTCATATCATTTTGCCCAATTTCTCCTGACATATATTTTGAATTTTCTTGCTTGGTCCCTACTGTCACTGCTAGGATACGAGTGCATTCCTTTCGATGCACGTTCCGCAGGGTCATCATGCCTTCAGAGCATGTGCTGAGAGACTGAGTCAAGAGTTCTCTTGAGATGCGAGGGGCTGATTACTAAGGTTATAAAAAGACGGTAGGCACAGGGACCAAGGAGCTTAGCAGCCCTCGGCAAATCCTGACTCTGTGGAGCACACTGTAAAATTTAGGCACATCCATGCAGTTTCTAGGAATTAACATCAGGTCCTATAAAATTTTCCCTTCAGACTTATTTATATATCACTTTGATTCATTTAGCCTACCCTCTGCCTAGGTAACACATTGCAACGTTGCCTGATTTCTATGCAGTTAGCTTTGGCTTTAAGATACTAACATATTACCCACCTACAATATACATGTTCAGTTTAAAAAGTAGCTTAGTATTTCAAGTGTACACTTGTGCTGTTAGGAAAAAGCTGAAAGTACACATGCCTAGAGTATAAAGTTCTACAGTTTCAAAAAGAATTTTCAGCTACACAATCATACATTAAGAGGAAACATATACCTATGTTTAAAATCCGTTATAATGAAGCATTTTAAAATATACACCAGTCTACAAGACTTCAAAGCTATACAGATTTGAAGAAAAAAATCAGTTCAAAAATACACGACAACTGAATATAGAAGTAATATAAAACTTTAAAGCTGTTTCCTAACATTTTATAAATGATCATTAAACTTTCTTTATAACTCTATCATTTTTTTTCTGCTTTTCCTTTTTGCTCCTCAACAAATTAATCTTCAAATGCACTAGAAGTTGTAGCCCTTATTTTTGTCTCCCAGGCAAGATGCTATTAGAGGTCACTTCCCATGTACGGAGAAAATAATCTTCATGGATAATAATGATAAAACCTTATGGAATGCAAAAACAACCAAAATATGTATTCTCCAATGACTACATTAGGGCCAAGTCAATATTAGTCCCACTTCACCCACGCACCGCACAGTCTAAAAATGTTGTCAGCCTGATAAGAATTTCCTGATTCATTTTTTTCCAATAGAAAATATAGGTCATCAAAATAAACTCCTAACAGTAAAAGAACAGTAGTTATAATATCAAGCCTCTTTTTAATCTGTTAGCCAGTTATAGGCAAATGGTTTCTTGATTAAAAAATTAGTCTCAAACAAGCCATTTCGATAAAAGCAACATAAAAATTTCCAAGCATATCTCTCAACCAAGTTATTTAGGTCAACTCAGCCTCACATCTATTCAAACAAGGTCTACAGAATTTGAAAGCATCCTGGAAGTTGATCATCATTTACAGATATGTGATACTCATCAATGTTGATAAATTACATAACAAAGAAGGTTCACTCTTCAGTTTGTTGATGGTCTTAGCAAAAGAATGAAATTTGGGAATGGAGTCTCAGGGCTATTGCAAAGGTTAAATAAAGGATTGGAGTTATTTCTTACGGAAAACTAAATGTTATGACTTGTAATTTATAATTTTTTTGATACTGAATTTATTTTCTAGCTCAAAAAAATGATTACAAAACTAACACCCATCATAGACTCATATTTTAATAGAATTACTTTTACAACTCTATAAAATAAAGTCGTCTTTACAACATCCACTACTTCAAGTTATTTTTAAAGGAAAAAAAATACCTTCCTGCATGTCTAGTAAAGTTTGAGTCTGTTGCATGCCCACATTCCAATTGATAATTGAAGGCCTCTACAGTCCCAGAGACGGAAGAAAGGAGGAAAGGGTGGTTCATCTGGGACTGTGTGTTTATAAAACACATAAACTGATTCCCATCACCTCTTTGCCTGACTTGCCCAATTTGCACTAAATGATTTTCTCCATTATTTGTAGCTTTTATATTTAAAGCCAAAGAAAAACCAACAATATAGCCAAAATGTTTTAATCTGTCACCCTTGACCACAAACTACAAAATGTTTTCCCATTCTCCTCCCCAAAAGCAACCTTCTCTGAAATGCTGAACCTGCTAACTATTAAATAATAATAATGATAGCAAGAAAGTAGGATTCCTTCCTTTTTTGTTCTAATCGGTCCTTGTTAACCTCATACTGAGAGCAAGATAAATCTGTGGCATATACTCTTTTAGAATCAGATGGATTTCACAGCCCCTAAATTCAAAAGAGAAGTTATGATTTCTTTCCAAAGAGTAGCACTACAAATCTAGCAAAGAAACAGATGAAAAGAAAATACAGAAATTAAAAGCCAGATTAATTAAAGAGCCACACCCTTAGGACCAACATAAAACGCATTGTTCCTAAGAAACTAACAAAAAAAAAAAATCCTTAAATTCAGTGGATTGCAATTTTCTAACCATATCCAGTTCCCTGATAAGTGTCTTCATAAGTGTATTTTTTTAAGTCTCACCGAAACAACGCAGTCTAATTCTCAGGATCTGAAGACCCTGTTTTGGTGTAACCCAGTGCCTCATACTCACATGTGTTTTAAGCAGTGCTTTCTAAGCCTTGACACACACTCTGGTTGGTGTCCAGAGAGGAATACCCACGGGCACCTAGTGCCAGGTTTCCCAGGACCTTACTCTCCTTTCTGAAGGAACTATATCATCTCCCTGGTTCCTGAACCTCTTTCATCAACCGCGTTCCCAGTCACTCTTGGCAAGGTAGAGAACCAGAGATCCAAGGGTACCTCTTGGACAGAAGGGGACACACAACGCACTTTCAACAACTGAACTGTAATTCCACCTATGGGCTTTGGTGGAATTAAAGGTGAATGAGGGTGGGGAGAAGATGAATCGGGTAAAAGGGGTCAAATATATAGTGACAGGAGACAAGACTTTGGGTGGCGAGTACACAATGCTATTATACAGGTGATGTGTTACAGAATTGTACACCTGAAACACCTAATGTTATTAACTAGTGTTACCATCCAAAAATTTAATTTTGAGAAGTGAATGAGGAACTTGGGGATCAATCCCTGTCCTCTAAGTCACTGTCGTAAGAAGACACTCGGCAAGAAGTTCTAGTAGCGTTTGCTAGACGTTACACCAGACCCATGTTTCACCATAAAAATCCCCAAAAGGCCATTTCCTGATCTCATTATTCAGGTAGCCTCCCCGGTGTCGGTGACACACTTCCATCCCTCTAATCGAGAAAACTCTGAAACACTCTACCTTACCAAAGGAAACAAAATATTTGGTTAATGGAAGTTTACTCACAGACTCCTAAGACAGATGCCCTTGGTGAGCTTCAGAGAACTGAGCCCTAAGAGCTAGGGTGGCTGCTACGAGGGTAGCCTCTGAGCCCCGATGACTACACTCAATGAAGCCCCCAGCCGGGCACTGCCTCAATTCGAATTCCCACCCGTCCCCCCAGGAGGCTCGTCCCTTCCTGAAGCCTCTCCTCCTCTCTTCGGCTGGCTTTCCGCTCAGGGGCGCTCCCGCAAGTCCCAGAGCATCCTCCGCGCCACCGGTCCCGGCCGGACGTCGCCAGAGCCCCAGAGCGATACTCGCGGTGCCCCTCGCCCCCGCCCACGCCCCCGGCAGGCTGCCCGGTCGGTGACTCACCTGCTGGCCAGGTTGGGGCGCCGGGTGGTAGTAGGCTGTGGGGCAGGTTGCAGCTGCCACAGGGTTGGGCAGATACTGGGGCGCTCCATACGGCTGGGGGTGATACATCACCTCCGCACAACTCATGGCAGCCGGGGCAGCGGCGGCCCCCAAGCTGCCGCCGCCGGTCTACGCGCTCGCGCGACCCGCGCCGCCGCCGCCGCCGCCTCTGTCGCTGCTCCAGCTGCTACTGCGGCGAAGGCGGGTCCTCGGAGGCCGCGGGCTCCGTGCGGGGCGCGGGCTCGCGAAGGGTTGGCAATCAGCGGGAGCCCATGCGCGGGCACCTTCATCTTCAGCCCCTCCGGAGGTCCCCTTGTGCGCGCTTATAGAGCGGCTCGAGAACGCAGCGGCCCGCCGCGCGGCGCGGGCATGACAGTGCCCGGTCTGGCGACGGCAGCCGGAGCCTCAGCCCTGGCCCGGGTCGGGCAGCTCGGGTTTGCATCCACACAATGCACGCCCGGGGCCCGTCCTATCACCAGCGCTCCCAGCTGGGCGAGGACCGGGAGGCAGGGGCAGAGGGAGGGGTCGACGGGGGAGGCGGGAGCGCTTCGCCTCCCCAGGCTCTGACGCGGAGAGCCGCGGAGTTCCTCCAACTCGGTCCGCAGCGGGCGGGTCACCCAGCAGGGGGACCTCGGCCGGGGCCGGCTGCGGATTGGAGCGAAGTTTGAAGCCCTCTCCGCCTCCCGGCCGTGGGACGATGGTGGGAGGGGAATGGTATGCGAGAGACTCCGCGCCCTTAGAGCTCCGCGGGTTCCCACCCTGTCTCCGTCACCTGGCTGCCTGGGCGAGGGCTTCGCAACCCCAAGGAGCTTTCTTTCACAGGGAACAACAAACTCAGAGGCCAAAGAGGTGAAACTGAGCAGGCTCAAAATAAACTGGGATATCCTCTGCCTTAACTATAACCGCAAGTGAAAGTTAAAACTTTATTTCAAGGGCGCGCATGCCAGGAATGCAACACAGTTTTCAACAAGTTAACTTCGCTTTAAGTCGACACCTTCATGGTATGACATTCTTGTGGGACGTCAACGTTTTCTGGCTTTTCCAACCTGGTTTCCATACAGCAATATACAGCAACAATCCATGAAATCCATTCAGCTACCATTTACAGGTTTATCTATTTGCAGTGGTTTAGCACCTACATATATACAAACTCATTCTTAAACACACAAACTAATAATTGATGGGAACTCTCTGCTACTCGTAACAACTCTTATTCACTTTTCCATTCTTTCATCCAATGAATATTAAAAATACAGTTATTAAGGACTTAAACAGTTTGGGCTTTAATTGTGTACTTTATAGTGGAGCAGTATTCCTAGCAATAAGATATATAAGGATTTCTTTAAAATGTTTATTACTGCTTTTTCCCTAGTTGACATTCCCTGTTCACACCCTTTCCTATGTTCCAGATTCATTTGTTTAGCTTCTGTCTGAATGGCTCCACAGAGATATTCCATAAGAACCTCATTCACAAGAACACTAATATTTTCCCCGCATCCCCAAACTGATCCTCTTCTTTTAATCTGCACCTCAGGTATTAAATCTCCCACTCACCGGTTGCTGAGCTAGAATTCTGAGAATTATCCAACACTCTTTCCTTCTCCTCACTTTCCCCGCATGAGATTTTAGAGTCCTCTCAATTCCAACTTTTACATTTCTACGGATCCTCTCCCCTCATGTCTTTATCTCTGCAGCCATAATCCTTAGTTGACTCAGTATCTCTCACCCCAACTTCTGAAGGAGGCTTCTCAGTGATTTCCAGGCCCCAGGTTAAATCCTCCCCTGATCCATTCCTCACAATTCACCTCCCCACTCTTTTCTGTCCTAGCCACTGCAAGTCCAACAAAATAATACTGTTTCATCACACTTTTACAAATTTTCTCAGTCGCTTCTCACGGTCTGCAGTCCCAGCCCTCAAATGCTGGCGCCTGATTATGGCACCATCTCCCACAACTGTCCATTCCACCATCTGAACTGAGACTTCCTTTTCTCAGAAGGAACATGGTATCTGCTACTACCATGTTTTTATATGCATGACCGGAACATCTGCACCAATACACCACATCCCACCATTTTCACTGGCTAACTTCGTGTTCTTCAAGGAGTTATCTTCCAAAACATCTGCTGAAGACCAGCTTTGATGCCCCTGACTCTAGGCAACCTCAGCACTCCATGAATATTTCCCCCACCATCCTAATAACCCTCTATCCGATTTGAAATTGCTTATTTGCTTGTTTCCTCAACATGACCATAACTGCTTGAGAGCAGGGACTGTGACTTTTATCTCTGAATCCTAGTCAAATAATGCCTGGCTTAGCAAACATTCATTGAATAAATAAAGCAGAAAGAGGAATGAAAAAAAAAAATAACTTTAGGGAAGCTTAATACCTTGTGGAGGATCCAAACACATATGAAATCAGTGAAAGTTAAAACATGGAACATGGTTTCAGATTTCTTCCAGGCTTTTTACTGTATGTTAGAATGAGAAGAGCCTTGTGATATGAGAGAATTTAGGACCTAAATTTTAAAGTGATTGAATTAGGCCATAAAGTTAGTTTGTGAGACAATCCTTCCTCAAAAACAAGACCTCCTATTTTAAGTATTTAACACTTTCTACTTCATCTTTAAATAAGTTAATATATCTGTAGTTGGTATTTTATTTTTTGGTATAATGCATTCAATATTTCTCTCCTCCACTAGACTATTGCAGACACCATTCATAGCTTGTATAGCTAGCATTCAGAAGATATTCCACATGTATTTGTTGACTCAGAAAATAAGCCAGAACTAGATCCAACAATTTCTGCATCTTCCTGGCAACCTAGATGGCCTCTGGTATGCCGCAGATTTTTTATTGTATGACAAAGATATAGTTTTTGAACACTATAACTCATGGACTCCAAAGTCTGGAGGTATTTGGCAAAATCTTCCTATAATGCACTATCTTTTTTTTTTTTTTGATACCTCCCTCATTTCTACACGGTGTTGATAGAAGAAAATGAGAAAATAATAATACATTTTATCCAGAAGTAAAATCTATAAGAAGGATATACAGAGGGAGAAAATAGCATGTCAAAGCGAGAGTCTTTGTTTGCTCATTAACAAAATATAGAGTAATTCCTGTTCAGGAAAGCAAAGTTGGACTTCTGGTAGGAGAGCAGATGTTTTAGAATGGGTTTTAGAATGGAAACGAATCAAAATGATTATCTAGTTTTAAACATCTTCTTTCAAAAATAAGCAAACATGTAGTCTGGTTAAACTATAGAGAACAGGAGGCAAAACTAAAACCAAAGCCCCAGGTCTCTTGACTCTTGGTTCAGTTTGCCACATTACTTTTTCTTTTGGCCATGATAAGGACATACAAATAAACACACATGTATACTTACACAAGTGCATACATTGGGTGTACGCATGTGCATATATGTACATAGTCATACATATTCATTTCAGCATCTACATATAGACATACATAAAAGAAGAAGCTTTTTAGATCGTATCCTCTTTTGGTCAACTTGGAGTTACAGAAAAAGGAGTGAGGTGATGGGGAGAAATGTAGGCCAATTGCATTTAACAATAGTGAGTCACCCAGATCAGAGAATGCAATCTGACCACTGGTGTACTCATTGTCATGTCTATTTTGTACAGTTGTCACAATTACTTGGAATAAAATAGTAATGGGATGAAACTTGATTATTTGTACTTTTGAGCTTAAGTTTCTCAAAATGTACTCCTTTATCTTTTCTCCTCCTCTCACACTTTCCCACCTCTTCTGGCTCAGTCCCGATGTGGAACCTGATCCTACCCATCTGTTGTTATCCTCCTACTTGTGTCTATCCAAACCACTGCAATTTTAACAGACTACCAAAATGTCCTTAAATGTTTCCAACTCTTCTGAGTCAGAGGTTTACAGCCACTACATTTTTGGCCCCACTCACCAAATTTCCCAGAATACTCCCAAGTTTTTCAGCTGGAATTTAATGAAGTGAACCCCTCAAACCAGTTTTATTTAGGGGGTAACAAAGTGGATCTTTCAATATCTCTCGAAATAAGATGGGAGGAAAAAGAGGGAGCTTTTTTGTTTGTTTGTTTGTTTCTCTGTTTGCTTTGAAGATTTTTTTTTTGACAACAAACCTTGTTCTTAATTTGGGTATCAGTGCAAAAAATCATATGGGACCTGCAGTACACATGTGTGGATGTATTAACCTGTATATCCAAACCCTCCTCCAAGCCACTAAACAGCTGATTCTTGGCCAGCCCTCCAACCTAAGCTGAACCCACTGATAATTCAGCATGCTCTAGATAGAAATCATGGCTCTGAGAAGGTGGGCCTGGGTCTTCTGAACAGGAAATTTTCAGGCCATCAGTACTGATGCATGGTTGCTCTAGGAAGAAAAATGCCACCATCACATCCCTCGTGAAAAGATGTCACACTCCAATCTCTGGAACCTATGGATATATATGTGGATTTTTTTAATTTAAATTATTGGTATTAGATGGGGAGGGGGAGAGTAACACCTGTTTGTTTTTCTACTTATTTATGCATTAATCAGTTGGTTCTTGCATGTGTCCTGACCAGGGATCAAACCCACAACCTTAGAGTATTGGGACACTGCTCTAACCAACTGAACCACCTGGCCAGGGCCTAGGAATATGTCTATTTTACATAGCAAAAGAGAGTTAAGATTGCAGGTGGAACTAAGGCTACTAATGAGTGGATTTTAAGATAAAATTACCATCGGTTATCTGGGTGGGTCCAGTATAATCACAAGAGCCCTTTTAAGAGGGAGGCAGAAAGTAGAAGAGTTAGTGTCATAGTGATGTAAAATGAAAAAGGCTCTACAGACATCCGTGGATGACTGAAGCTGGAAGGCAGCCATGAGCCAAGAAATAAGGCAGAGTCTCAAGGACCTGGGAAGGGCAGGAAAGCAAGAGATCCCTTACAGTAACACAGCACTGCCGACACCATTTTGCAATTCTGACCTCCAGAATTCGTAGGTCATAAATGTGCACTGTTTTAAGTCACTGCGTTTTGGTTATTCATTGCAGCAGCAATAGGAAACTAATGTAATAGTTTGATGGAGATACAGTAGAAGGAATACAATACAATAGAAGGAAGGGATTTGGGTGAGGTGCCCCTTTGCCCTATAGATTCCTGTGAGGAGAGGCACAATAGGACAAGGGCCAGTGAAGAGTGCTGTAAAGCTCAGAGGCCACGGATGGACTACGGGTGCCTGGATCTAAGGACCGTGGCAATAATATTAACTGAATAGATGTGAAAAGAGAAGGTTGAAATTGGTACATAAATCAATAAAACCTCCTTATTCATTTGTCCTTCAGAATCACCTGCTTTAAACTATGTTTCTCTGGTGGACTTACTCATGTCCTGTTGCAACTGTTGCCTCATGTCTTCTTCACCATTCCCAAATCCCTCAAATTTGCTCTCTCCATTTTCTT